TATCTTTAGAGAATAAATTAAATAAAAATCCTAATCTAAAAGAACAATATTTTAATTTTATTAAAGAGTATCGTGACTTGGGTCATTTAACTGAAATACAGAGACCTAGTTTTGGTTATTATTTGCCACATCATGCTGTTTTAAAGGAAAAAAGTGAAACTACAAAACTCAGAGTGGTTTTTGATGCCTCAGCCAAAACCACTTCTGGTAAATCTTTAAATGATATTCAGCTTATTGGACCTGTGTTACAAGATGATTTAACTTCAATACTAATTCGTTTTCGATGCTTTAGATATGTAATTACTGGAGACATTCAAAAGATGTACAGACAAATTGAGATTGATCCCAGTCAGCGCCATCTGCAGCTCATATTGTGGAGGGATGATGAAGCAGGATCAGGTTCTGTGTCAGGACATCCACGGCCAATTAAGGTACTCCAATTAAATACCGTTACTTATGGCACGGCCTCAGCGCCCTACTTAAGCACGAGATGTATTCTTCAATTGGCTCGTGAGTGTCCTGACACTACCATATCTAACATCTTAGAGCATGATGTATACATCGACGACCTGACTACAGGCGCCGAATCTAAGGATTCTATAAAGCATATTTATAGTAGTGTAGAAAATGTATTAAATTCAGCTGGTTTTCCGCTACATAAAATTAGAACTAATTGTCCTGAAGCATTTCAGAATGACACTACAACTTCAGTTTTAGAATTAAATAAAGAATCGTCTGTTCTGGGTTTGAATTGGTCACCAGATACAGATACTTTACATTTTAGTACAGATTTAAGTAGTGATAATAATAAGATAACAAAACGTTCTATAATTTCACTTACCTGTAAGATATTTGATCCATTAGGTCTTTTATGTGCTTGTGTTATAAAAGCAAAAATAATTTTACAACTATTATGGAATGAGAAATTAGCCTGGGATGATCCAGTGCCATCTCACATAGCTAAAAAATGGTTAGATATAGCAGAAAATCTTAAAACATTGTCAGATATTAAAATACCAAGATATGCATTATGTGATGATTTCTTTACTAATGTTGAATTACACTGTTTTGTAGACGCATCGCACGAAGCATACGGAGCGTGCGTCTATCTACGTTCTACGGATAGTAGCAATAATATTGTCATCAGGTTATTGTGCGCAAAGTCGAGGGTTGCGCCCCTGAAGGCCATGACCACCCCTCGCTTGGAATTGTGTAGTGCTTTGCTTGGTGCTCGACTGGTAGCAAAGGTACTTCAATCAATTCGTATTTCTATCACCAATACTATTATGTGGACTGATTCAACTGTCGTCCTGGGTTGGCTTAAGGCTCAGCCTAAACTTTTGAAAACCTTTGTTGCCAATCGTGTAGCTGAGGTATTAGAATTAATTAAAGGGTGTTCATGGCGATATGTTCCCACTGATTTCAATCCTGCAGATCTGGCCTCTAGGGGGGTTGTCCCTCAACGCTTGCTCGTGGAGCCCTTGTGGTGGGAAGGACCTTCCTTCTTGAAGGAAGGCTCTTCTTCCTGGCCACAAACTCCACACTCTATAGTAGAGCTTCCAGAGCTTAAGGCGTATGTGAACGCTGCTGAAGCCCCTGAAAATCATTTCATAAACTTTAAAGATTTTTCCAATTTTAACAGACTGAAGAGAATTTTTGCGTACGTTTTAAGATTTATAAGCAATATACATAATAAACATAACAAATGCACTGGTACGTTGCAAACAGTAGAAATAAACAAGGCTTTAAATCTACTTATTAAATTTAGTCAAGGTGAATGTTTTACAACTGAAATAAAGGCACTATCTTCTGGTCAACATTTAAATAAAAAATCGAAGTTATTACAGTTAAATCCATTTATTGATACAGAAGGCTTGTTGAGAGTAGGCGGTCGATTGGAGAACTCCTCCTATGAATATAATAAGAAACATCCTGTTATTTTAGATGGCAGGCATACTTTTACATCCTTGTTATTGCAACATGAACATCGCCGGCTATTTCACGCAGGTCCTCAGCTGCTGCTGTCCTCGATACGTGACTCTTATTGGCCTATCGGAGGTAGGCAGTTGGCGCGCAAGGTCGCAAAATCTTGTGTAATATGTGCTCGCTATCGCGGTAAGACTATTCAACCTATTATGGGAAATTTACCCGCAGTAAGGACAGAAGCAACCTTCCCCTTCTATTCAAGTGGCACTGACTTTGCAGGCCCTTTTCTTATATCAAGTAAAAGGGGGAGAGGTAATCGTAAAACAAAATGTTACCTTTGTTTATTTGTGTGCTTGAACACTAGAGCTGTCCACTTGGAGGTAGTGAGCGATCTCACTACAGATGCCTTTATATTGTGTTTGCGTCGTTTCATCGCGCGTCGAGGTAAACCTAAAGTTTTATATTGCGATAACGGTACCAATTTTATAGGAGCAAATAATGAACTTGGTAAAATTTTGCGCTCCAGTCGTGAGTCTGTCACAGATTTTGCTACCTCTGAAGGTATAGATTTCGTTTTTAGTCCAGCTTATTCTCCTCATTTCGGAGGTATATGGGAGGCGGGTGTTAAGGCAGCAAAATATCATTTAGTTAGGATTGTTGGTAATCAATCATTTACTTTTGAAGAATTGACTACGCTATTTTCACAAATCGAAGCTATCTTAAACTCCCGTCCTCTTTCTCCTATCTCGTCCGATCCTTTTGACCTAACTCCCCTCACCCCAGGGCACTTCCTCATTGGACGGCCTCTGGTGTCATTGCCCTCGCATCCAGCAGACGACGGCAGACCGAAATACCACGCAATAACAAAAATTCGTGATGAATTCTGGGAGCGATGGCGAAAGGAATTCTTGGCGGAATTGCAATTGAGAACTAAATGGACGACTCCTCAAGCCAATCCTAAGGTCGGGGATATGGTAGTAATTAAAGAAGATTTTTCACCACCGCAACGCTGGCGCCTTGGCCGCATTTCACGTCTGCACCAGGGACCAGACAACGTGTGTCGAGTGGTTGACATTTACACCGCCAGAGGCACTATTCGCCGAGCGATCCACAATGTCGTTCGGCTACCACAAGAAGTTGAAAGTTAAACTTTCAAGGGCCGGAGGATGTCTACGCCGGAACGCATCATTCTTCGTCGTGTATGGAACGCATCCGTAGCGCGAGCGAGAGGTTCGAGCTGCGCGCCTTCCGGCCACTGCCATTCTAATAGTCGCGACGAAAACACACTCAATTATTGTAAACTTATATTATAATTAGCGATTAAAGAAGTACATCTGCAAAGGGATCTACTTATTTATATCGATCACTTCTAAAACACTAAACAATTCATAAATACAAAAAATTCATTGCACTTTTTCCTCCGCATCTTCAACGGAGTAAGCCCTACAAATCTTCCCAGCTAATATTTAACAGTTGACACCTGAAGTTTATTCCGTTTTTCGATCCAGACAAAGCCGATTTCCCGCTGGTTGGAATCCAGTTGAGTCCCAGTACCTCGAGCTTTGACTGTCGGATTAGGTCCGAGGAGCTTTGCCCGAAACCTATTACTGATTTATAGACAATAGTTTTATGATCAGCCTCTTATTCATTCCAGTTTTTGATTCGATTGTGAAGTTGTTTTTGGAGTTTTTCTTTGTGTTAGGAGAAATTATGACTGTAAACGTTAGATTTGAGTTCAGTTCAATTAACTATAACTTAAATAAATTTACCTACGTATAGACACTACAACCTAAGTTTTAGTGTCTTTACTGAGTTCTGTGTATTTCTGAATTTTTTATGTGATAGATCGCCGCTCATAGGCCTTGTAACAACGAGGAGTTACCAGTAATGTCGCTCTTTTGAGATGTTAGAGATTTGAGAACATCTCTTTCTATATCGCTTGGAAGATTTTCACATACTTATTTGGCTCCTACAACATCCATCTACCTTGGCTTGGTAACTCGTCGCCCGACCAGAACCAGACCCGAGAATTCGCGTCAAAGAACCAATAGACTACCACCACAGATGGAGCTCAACAGGGCTGACAGGGGGTGCAAGGGTCCCGTTACAGCGGCCCCAGCCCGGAGCAGAAGGTACGTGGTGGTTCTTGGTCAACGTCTCTCAGAGATACAATCTCCCTAAGCGTAATAAATAAATCATTTGGAGATTATCTTCCCTAAAAAAGATCCCTTCTATACTTCTTAGTGTGTTTGGCAATTAATGGATTTCTTCACTTAGAATAAAAATCACACCTACACTTCTTAATATATTTAGGACTCAATGAGTTTCGTGTTTTTGAGATTTTATTAACAAAATACAACAGGAGTTTTAAAATGAAAGTTGCTAGCTACCCCTTCTTCTAAAATTACGCAACTAATTTAATTCGACTCAGATAAGCATGTAATTTGCATCTATGGACAAAGATTTCAATTATTTAAACAAAAATTCTCAAATTGCAACCTAATACGACACATCATTGTTAACTAGTACGCCACGTGGCGAACACGCGTTGTCCTGCAAATAGACCCCTAATTACGAAGCAGCAGGCCAATTGTGAAGGGTTATAATCAAAATTACTTATTGACAAAATATTCAGTGACAAATTAGGACTTAAGTCCAAACAAATTGGAATAAAAAAGTTCTGATGTACTTTTTGTTGTTTGCTGTTCCGTGAGTACGCAATTGATGGTCGACGTGGGCGCATGAGATTTTCTGTCGAGAAGTTCCTTATTTGGGGACATGTTATTGTATTATTGGAGATGAATTTATGTCTAATTTTAAAATTCAAATGTATTGGGGATGTCTTAAAGAGCACAAAACACAGCTTATCTGTGTGAGTGAAGTTACTGGAGGCAGGTATATCCACCTTCCCCAATCTCCAAATTCCTACTCCTTAAATCTCTACCGCCAAAATGGTGGCACCGCACACTTACCTCTATCATTGCCTTAAGAAAGGCGAATGAGCGGCGTTGATTGTTTAAATTACCATCAGGGGACACGTTTGCCCGATTGCCGCAATATCACATAAAAAAACTTTATTTAGATGCCTTTATTTGCATTTCATTGGCAGAAGCTGTTTCTTCAGGCCCATAATAGACACCAGTGAACATTTCATATCGCGCATTATCAAAGTCCAACGAAATGTCAAAGTAGAATGGTCTGTCCGCAGTGAATTGGGGCGAATTTTCAAAATATGATTCCTGTGCTTGTGGTGGTCCCATATTTTCAAAATCTGTAAAAAAGTACTATTAATAACATTCTTAAATAAGAATAACAACTTTAGTGTACCTATAGCAGTTATACACATTATGTAAATTTAACTTACGTATGAATCTGGCAACACCGACTTCATCAATTTGGACAAAAAGTTTTTGTTTGATTTTATTCAAGGCTATGGATTTGTTTGAATTTCTTAAAATTCCTTCCAGGCCAGAAGAAGTGGTATTAAAAATGGTATTGAGCCCCAACTGAAATGCCCAAAAATATGGGAAACGTTTACAATAAAGCGAATCTTCGTGACTGCACGTTTGGCGTGGTGGCTGCGCAACTGGCTGATTCTGATTGATTCCCGCGCGGAACAAATCTTTGCGTGCTCTACAGATCTTTGTTCCGGGTCTAGGTGTGCTGTGTATGTGAAATTGTATGTTTCAAAACACATCCACCACACAGGAGAATCCAAAATCTTAGTGTAGGGCAACGTTTAAAAAATAGTATTGTCAAAAATATAAAATAAGTATCCTGTATGTACGCACTTTTTTAACTGACTCGGTCAAGGCAATAAAACTCTTGACCTTAAACCTAGGGAAAGTAACTTTCAAAGGTTGATTCCTCATTCTTGTTACAAGGCTGTATACGTAAGCTTTCTGGTTATAAATATTGTCCAGTAGCGCTGGCAACTGTAGCGGACTGTTTGGTAGAATAATTGTAAATGATGCTCTCGAACTTCCAAATCTGATTGATACGGCCTAAAAATATAGAAAAACGTATTAAGCAAATATACATTTGATTTTTATTTACAATGTAGGTATAAACTACAAACAAAACGTTTTTTTCTTATTTTTTTATGTAATACGTTAGCGAACAAGCAGACGGATTACCGGGTGGTAAGTAATCAGCGCCGCCCATGGACACCCACAAAAGCGGAGTTACGAGTGCGTTGGCGACCTTATAGGGGATTTGGAAATGTAGGGATTGGGGGAGGAAAAGGATTGGGCCTCCGGTAAGCTCATTCACACGACGAAACACAACGCTGTGGTTCTTTTACGCCGGTTTCGATCCGACCCATTCGTGCCGAAGTGGGGCTCTCCCACACTTGCTATCAGTGTGTCAGATGTAAATAATGTTTGATAACTGAAGAACTGAAGATGTTTAGGTTTGTAGTGGATCGGCACGAATGGGTCGGCTCAACCGAAGTGATACCACGGCCTCACAGAAAATCGGCGTGAAGCAACACTTACGTTGTGTTAATTATTATGTTTTCGGCTTACTCACGTAATAATTTGACGAGATACTCGACTAGTTTCAAGCCATGCTAGATGCCCATATTCATGAGCAGCAATCGGCGACACGCGACGCGGCGACTGTATCGCTGCTACTATATTAATTAGAATGGCTCACGAAAGTTATAATAAAAATATAGTAAACCGTGACGGTGCGGTATGGTTAAACTTCCGTTGTGTTTCCTTATGAGGGGTTGATATGGACATACTTAATCATCAAATCCCTAATAACCCACAAGAGGCCGGGAACGCACTCTAGTAACTCGTGTGACAGTACGAGTGTCCATGGGCGGCGCTGATTGCTTACCATCAGGTAATCCGCAAGCTCGTTTGCCAAACTATGACATTCAAAATATGGCGTTGAAACACCTTAAGAAGACTTACAGACAGACACTCAACAGAGAGATGAAAACGTCCCTCCTTTTCATCTCTTTTCCAAGAAAAACCGCCGTATAGGTATAACATATATTTGATTACCTGACAGTCCTTATTTTCTATATATCGGAACATATCTGTCTTGGTCATCATTGGTATCCTTATAATTTTTCCTTCGGTAGGGTGAAAGTCCCTTAGTTTTGTCAGACGAAAATCAAACGGAAATTCCCATGTGCCCTTTAAAATATAAAACATGGTTTAGAATTGTTTAATTTCTTCTTTTTTTATAGGTAGGCTATACTGATTTTCTAATAATTGCTTTGACTATTTTGAAGATATACATATGAAACCGTGATTGAATAACTAAACTAGATATGGATTTTTAGTTTAAGCTTTTTGATAAAAACAATCTAATTAAAATAACATTAGTAATAATTTGATACCCACCTTGAAATGTGCGGCAGTTACTATAATCATTTGTGTCTGTTTGTTTATATCTGAATCATCTACTACATCTGTTATCCGTCTTAACGTCGTTGTGCCAATCTGTAAAACTTCATATTGTTATAATAAACATAATTTTGGATACTAATGTACCTTCTTCAAAATTTCTATGTGTTTCGTTCATTTGTTTTGCGCAGCTGATTTGGTTATGAACACTCAATGTAGACCTGTTCATAGTCTATCACTATCATTAGTCTACTGCTGAGTATAGGCCTCTTCTCACACGGAGAAGGTTTGAGCATTAACCAACACGCTTGCTTAAGGATTCAGTTCAGTTTCCTCACGATATTTTTCTTCGCCGTTTGTTAGTGGTGTCTAAATAATCATAGAAAGTACATATAACTCGGAACAAGTCATATTGGTACTTGACAGGTCTTGAACCCGCACCCTCATGTATGAGAAGCAGGCGCATTAACCCTCGGGACACCACGACGATTGTTTGATTTTCATAGTCTATATCATCTAAATTACTAATGAATAAAGAAATATTATATAAGTTTCTAATTTGAAATTATATTACATGATATATGATAGGGTTTGTGTCAATAACAACGTTTGTGTCAAAAATCTATGAAATGAAATGCGGTTCATTAGTCTCGCTAAAACTCGAGAAAGGCTGGACCGACATGGTTGATTCTGGTTTTGAAATATTCCTGAATATATTAGAAACGCTTAAGCAGTCAGAGAATAGGACTAAATAAAAAAAAATACAGTTATATATGTACGAGGCGGGATGAAGTTGTGTGGGTGCTGGGTTAGCTAGTGTTGGAATAAAAATCATGTTAATATTTGTATGTCACTCACCAAATTATTTATATATGAAATTGCTGCTTTTGGATAATTAAAACCAACTTTATCAACTTTTATACCAAAATTTTCAGTCGAGTTTATAATGAAATTTGGATAAATTTCTTTAATGTAGTTCACGAAGATTCGATTCGTATGGGTCAAATCTGATATTGTCATTTCGTTTATTGAATCTTTAACCATAAAGCAGGTACTTAACTGAAATATGCCAAGTTAGGTGTTTATTTTAGTTTCTACCGTAGGTATGGTAAAATTTATTAAGGTTTTTGTTTTATTTGCAAATGGCGTATTTGCCCTCGTCTCGCCTTCTTAATAGATAAAAGTAACAACCGCCCTTTTTTTTGCCTGATCCGCAACCTTGGCTGATTACGGCCCTACTGGACCCTATCTGTGGTGGTCTGTTGGCTCGTTAGGCATGCGCGACACTTCCACACTTAGGAGAGCCATACTTCGGCACGAATGAGTCGGCTCGACCGGAGCGATACCACGGCTTCACGGCCTCACAGAAAACATTTACACGCAGTGTGATTGAGGTTACCAGGAGACCCAATCCTCCCCCCCTCCCTATCCGCAAACCCCAAAACTCCTTCCCTTAAATTCCTAAAAACCCACAAGAGGTCGGCAACGCACGTGTTGTAACTCCTTTGGTATTATTACAAGTGACAACGAGCGACGCAGGTTGCCTTTAGAAGCATCAGGTAATCTGTCTGGTCGTTTGCTGACCAACGAAACAAAAAGAGTGGAGTCTCATATGCTGTAGTTAAACCACTATTTGATATTGTGTGTGTCAATAATAAACATGTTATCAGTAGGTACTTACGGAGTCATCGTCTTCATATCCTAGAGCAGTCATCAGCTCCACCTTGGCATCACCTTGTGCTATACTCGCCAGCTTGCAAAGTGGTAACCGCAGTAGTGTCTCCGATGCCACTACGTTTGTCCCCGGTTTAGCTTTAATTAAACTCTAAAACGACAAAATAATAATTATTTTTAATTATACTGTTTTCACCATACTAATGCTGAGTGTGGCAGAGCCATGCTTAGCATGAATAGTTTGGCTCGACCGGAGTGACCCCGCAGAAAACTGCCTTGAAACAACCTCAGCGTTGTATTTCGCCGTGTGAGTGAGTGAGTTACCGGAGGCCCAATCCTAACTCTCCTCCAATCCCTAAATCTCAACAAGTCCCCAAAAGGTCAGCAACGCACTCGTAGCTCTTCTGTTATAGCGGGTATCATCAGTTAATCCGTCTACTCCTTTGCTGTCCTATCACATAAAAGCATGTTTTCCATTCGTATGAGTGTTTTCATTTAGCATTGATTTATAATGTGGATGTGTTAACATCCACAACACAATATGGAAGCGGTGTCGCAACTAATCTATGTATATATGTATATTAAACACTTCTTTGATTCACAAAAAAACAAAAACAATTTTTATTTTGTCTCCATTGCTCTATTCGACGTAAAAAACAAAGAAATAAATTAACCATAACTAGCTTCTCTTTCAAATTGTTAAATTTTAATTCGCAAAAAACTTTCATGATGTAAATAGAAAATATTAAAACTAAACAAATATTCGGTTTAAACATTAGTATAAATAAAAAAATACGTGAATGCGATACAAACTCTCGTCCGATATTAATCTGAGCGATAGTGGGGCAATATTTTTTAACATTAAAATATAAAAGTATATAATGTTGCTTTTATAACATTTAGTAAACGGATCGAAAATAGTTCTCATGCGGATTATATTTGTTAGGCTTATACGAGTAAGAACATATTTCTTTGTTTTAGTCTTCACAAGTGAAAGTAAATCAATAAGAAAACAAAAGCATGATCCAAAGTGTAATCCTATTACTTATAAACCAAATGATTTGATACTTGTGAAAAACAAAACAGGAAACAAACTCCAAAGTATTTATAATGGACCATATCTGATAATCAAAGATGTTTCACCAAATGTCGATATATTGAAAGATATTGGAAAAACTGATTTAGTTCATAAGAATAGGACTAAGTTATATGATTCATAATATTTTTTACCCTATATTGTTTTGGGTTTATGTTTATTTACATAAAAAATGTTTTTTATTAGTTATACTCTTACTTAGCTATCTTTTTATATTACCTTGTAATTCAATTCATAATAGCCTTATTACTCTTAGTTAGATAATATGTACTTTATACTTTTGTATGACTTAATTAACATTAATTAACTGTAACTTTATGTTTACCGCAGTTTAAATTAAAAAAAAAAACAAAAAAATATATTAATTTTTTTCATAAAAATAAAATAACACTAACATAATATTTTATTTTATCCCTCCGGGGAAGGTGAAGTGTGTAGTGTATAACCTAAGTTTGCATATATCAATGTATCTTTCTCGTGTATTTAAATATTAATCATTATTAATAAAGAGTCAGTATTTAATCAGCAGTCGAGTGTTTTACTCAATACAATCCTTACACCATCATAAGTTTGACTCAAGGTCAAGCGCAGGCTTAGAGCAGGAGAAGCGGTCTTTTAGTCAGTAAGAGTCAGTTCTTCAGTAAGGTTTCATTAAACTATCTGTCAATATTATTATATTTTAATCAGTTCAGAAATCTTTATATTGTAATTTGGACCTTATTCTCAATAAGTGAATAAAACTTCACCCATTTTATCATACTTTGTTCAAAACATTAAAATTGTATCTGATTCAAAACTAATAACAATTACTTGTAAGCAAGTGATACAAAATGACTTCCTAAATAATTCGGTATATCATTCTGGGTAGATGCAGAACCTGGTTTCAAAGAGTGGGGTGAAGATAAGCTGGTAAGAAGCGTCTAAAGCGAAGAGATAATGTAACCGAGGTTCCCGTAGGACGGGCCGCTTTGACGGGTGAATCGAATAAGTCGTCGGCAGAGAGAATAGTAATAAAATTGAACCGAGCGCCTGCCCAGATGTAGCTATGGATTTATCGCCAACTAAATACTGTGGCACACTGGCTGCAAGGAGCTGGCGTGCATTATTCTATGGCTATGTACAAAACTATTCAGTTGACTTGTTGCAACAAGTTTGTGTTTCATTTCTGATATGATTAAAGTGCTCACTTGGATTTGAATGAATGAAATATTGAATATCTATTTAGTTTTGTGAATGGTCTGGTCTGTATCATAGTCATACTGTTTTTGTTAGTTCGGAAATTTGAATAAAATATAGCTCATTAATCTGTTTAGTATTAAAATGCGGGATATGTAAACAGGTGTACCTGTGATTAAAAGTAAAATACTATGAAAATTTCGTAGAAACCGAGATTACTTGAAGGAAAAAAAAACGTCTTATATTTCGCGCTCGGTGTACCACAGACCTCGCAGGTCGTCTCCGCTCGCTCGCTTACACATTCGTCGGGCTGCATCCAATATGTTTCCTAGCATATTGTCTTTAACAGCTCCATTATACCGACGATAGATTGTGCGGAAACCTCCGCTTCTGCCGCCTCCCTACATATTGCTACGAAAGAAATCTTTTTCCACATCTACGATGAATATTTTTGTTTGCTTACAAACAGCGTATTGGGGAAATGAATAATGAAGACGTATTTGTTATTTGAGTATTCGGCAGATGTACTGCGTCAGGAATACATGTCTCCTCGTATGAACAGTCTGTGTTTCTATTGTAAACAACGTTCGTAATAACTCATTTTATTGAGAATAGATTTGCTAAGCCGATGGCTAAAGTCTTGTTGAATACGTGTATTCCCTCATTCGATGCAGTCAAAACGAATGACTTATAGAAGAAGATAAACTATAATCAAGTCAACTTTTGAATTTCGAAGCATATATCAAAAACAAACATATAGAAATCGTTACAGAAAGCATCTTTGCTTAAGAACCAAAACAAAATTACCTCATAAAACTCACCTCTTCCCCAGATGAGCTCCAGCTATCTAGCTGAAACTTACAAAAACAAACGAGAAAGTGAGGACCGGCAATGTCAATAGACCAGCTCAAATATTTCCCTTTAGAATAAAGTAGGTAAATACCCTTTAAAACCATAACCCACGAGGTTTCATCTAGAAGCCGCGCTACCATATAATTGAATGAATATTCACGTTTCTTAATCAATAGAGGCATTACTACCGAGGACCTACGGAAGCAACCACCCGCCTGTGAAATTGGACTAGTATAGACAAGGATAGACGTATGTGAGGCGGTAGAGAGAGAAAGGGACGTGTATAGCGGAGCAAGCTTTTATAAATCATTTTTCCTGGCACGGAAGAGATTTAGGCTGGTTGCATGGTTCAGATTTTATCTTTTAAGTTTAGTCATTTTGTATTGGATGAATGTTTGATTGTAATTGTGATTGGATAAGTTTCAATATCAGTCAAGGAATCATAGAAAATTTTGTTTAAAAATAATGTTAAATTTTTCTTAACGCTTGGTAATTATTGTAATAAGGTTATTACTAGCACTAATCTTCAACTGATGTATTAAAAAAACTGCAACATTTTTATCATTAAGCTTCTAGCAACACATTTAGTCGCAATCGTCCAACGTTCCTTAGTTGATAAAACGCTGAATCGCGATTATTTCTCTTTGCGTTTAGTTAATCAATTATTCTAATGTTGTTGGCGGAGACGCGTGCACGTTTGTGGCTTAACATTTTTACGTAACGAACGTCGCATAAATCTTATTATCATTTGTACACATGTGTTTTGTACGTTGCTGTGTAAACAATCAAAGGTAACGAGATTGTAAAGAAATATTTGCAATACAGATATCTATTATAGTCAAGGGAGAATGGAATAATAGAGAAAACAGTTATACTAAACACAGTCACGCAGAATTTTTTGGACGTTTTTATAAATATATTAGCTATTCTCGCGCGGTTTCACCCGCTGCTCAGCTCCATTTGATAGTAGCGTGATGTTTTATAGCCTATAGCACTCAGGGACATTGTAGCTATCTATTAGTGAAAGAATTTTGGAAATCTGACCAGCGGTTCCAAAGGTTACATACAAACTTACAAACATACAAACTTACAAATTTTACCTCTTTATAATATTAGTATAGATTATTAAAAATCACTTAACTTATTTTGTACAAGGTGGTGTAAAATGTTTCTATTCATATATTTTTTTCAAAATGTTTATTATGTATGGTGATATCAAACTTATAATTAGAAATTGTAAGTCCAAGTTTCGTCACGATGTTTTCCTTCACCATATGTCGTTGGTGTCATATTGGTACTCGCCAGGTTTCGAACCCGCGTCCTCATGCACGATAATCGACATCCTAACCTCAGGGCCACCACTACAATATTTTTTATTTCATAAGAATATTTTTTAAGATAATTAGTAGTTGTTACATGGACTCATCTCAACGCATATGTAGGTATATAAAAATACATTTAAATGCATTTTAAGATCTGGCAACATAGACTATAAAGTAAAAGGTAGAATTTTAGAAAAAAAAAATATTTATGACCTCAATCGGAAAGGTTACGTAAATATCATAGCTAAGGTATAGTTACACAGATGAGCCGCTTACAGTTAGTAACGGTTGCTAAAGTTATGGATCCATCCGATCAAGTACTTACAATAACACCTCGAGATGTCCCTGTGTGACGGAGACTTGGGAAACTAGTCAGTTGTCACATTTTGTCTCGATATAGCTCTCTTACAGTGTACAGTCTTTAAATATGTATTTTTGTAAGTTTTGTGGTCTCATTGACACAATATTATAAAATAAATATAATAAAATAAAAATAGCCTTCATTCAACCACAAAAACATGCTCACAACATTACAATTGTATTCTAATCAGTATTTATTTCATTTGTTTAATTTCATATATTTATCTAGGGTAAATCAGGCATACGTGCCCCAGTCGATAATGTGCCCCACTCGCAAAACTTAGAGATGCATTTTGAATTTGTTGCTAATTTTGTCCGTTTAGGTTAGTGACAGAAGTATGGCGTCGATGTAAACAATTCAGTGCTGTTATTAATTTGTTTTTACGAAGAAAAAGTGGTCACAATGTAAGTATCATAGTCTGAAAATGTTTTGTGTCTGTTGTAACTTTGAGTTTAAATGTTTGCTTCATGTTTTTTTCCGTTTGTAAAGTTTTATTCTAAAGCTAATCTCTTTTAACTATTTTGTAACTACAATTGCGTTTCGTTTTTTCTAAACATTTTTGTTGAAATCAAGTGAGGCATGTTATACTGAATTTTGGCTAATGCGCCCCGATTTATTTCGGGTAATGTGCCCCACATCTGTATTAGTTTTATATTGTCATTTTTAGGCATTTTGATCGTTTTTTTATTTATTTTAGAAATGAGGAAGGAAAAAGCTACAGATCCAAGAAGATGGACAAAAGAAAATATAAAAAAAGCTATAGAAGATGACGTAAACAAGAAAATGGGAGTTAATGAAGCTAGCCGCACATATGAAATACCAACAAGAATTGAATGAGATCATAGACATATCCTGAAAGGCTGGGATAGCAAGCAACATATAGAGAGTCCTTCGGAGTTAGGATATCCTTCGGATTTCCCTATAAAATTTATCGGGGCACAAATGACTGATGTATCCGTGTAATGTGCCCCACCCTAGACTTTAAGAAATCGTTGATCTCAGCTATTTTAATTACTTTTGAGAAGTTTTTTTTTGTTTTTGTTATACCTATTGAGTCAGAGGTTAAGACTAAACACTTTAATTAACTTGTTTTAAATACCACCATTTTTTATTTAAATTTTTCGAATTGTGGGGCACATTTGCCAGGTTTACCCTATATATATATATATATATATATAGGTATAGTTATCATTTAATTATTTATTCATTTTAAATATTATCTCTAAAATAGGCAAATAAACTAATCTTTAATCATGGACACCAAGGGGAACACAAAGAGGAAGAGGTAGACCGAGAAAGCGATGGGAAGATATATTCAGAGAGAGAGGAGGTCCAGACTGGAGAAGGAAAGCACGAGATAGAGACGAATGGAGGAAGCTGGGGGAGGCCTACGCCAAAGAGGCGACATCCACAAAAGACACAATATTATGGTTAACTTTAAATTGTTAATCAGTTGAATCGGCGCTGCAAATATGATATAATTATCATTATTTCTTTTAGAGCATATTGCCTCTATTCTGACTCTTTTCAAGTTTACATATATTTTGACTAACCCAAGAATTCTTCTATATGGTAGGGCAGCAAGCGATCACACGATCCCATAGACACTCGCAACACCAAAAGAGTTACGAGTGCGTTGCTGGCCCTTTGGGGATTATGGTTTCGGAGATTTAAGGATTGGGGAGTGATTGGGGAGGGAAAGAATTGGGCTTCCGGACTAACCTCACTCACACAACGTTTGACGCCAGTTTTATGTGAGAGTGATACTACATCACTCCGGTCGATCCGACCTAATCGTGCCGAAGGTTGGCTCTCCTACAGAAAACAAAAAAAAAAAAAAAAGAATTGACATATTTAAAAAGACAACAAAATCCGTAGTTTCATTAAAAACGCAATCGACAATCGTTATAAAACATCAGAGTATTCAGTTGGTGACGGCTAAAATGAGTCACGAGGCCAGCGTCCAATCGGGATCGTCCAATCAATCTCGTACCTTCCGATCACCTGAAAAAAGTAAAGGAAGATCGCCGATAACCCAACGGTCGCTTGCTAATAAGTTTGCGCACTCTTCCATAGCAGAACGAAATTGGAGCAATTCCCTTTTAAAATTCGCAATTGGTCGATCGTGAGGATTTTTTTTCTCTGTTTCACTTTTTATACTTGTTTTTTGGTATCATGCTGTATGTTTCGGAGTTTACGTCAGGAATTTTTGTGATAGTTTTTCGTGTTTGTTGTGGTATATTGTTGTTTTATAACTGTTAGAAAAAGCCTTTAGACCTTGACTTTATTTATTATTTTAAGACTTAAATGAAACATGACTGAGTAATGTATAATTTGTTTACTACCTTTTTTTACTGACAATATTTTTAAACCAAAATCTAATATTATAAGTATCTCTCCTCGTTGATCTTTAACATAGTGACTGTCTGGCATTACCAAGCAAATAAAATATTAACATAACAAAATCTGCGAAATCAACAAGAAAGAAATCTTCATAAAAGATTATAATTACAAGGGCCAGCCCCAAAAAAATAAATACGTACCAAACAAGAGACGGTCTTAATTCCACACCATACATTTTCCATCGAAGCCAATACAGTCCTGAAGATAAAGTCGCCATTCGAGCGAAAAGATACGAACAGGGAATTTACAAAGAGAAGCCAAGGGGACCGGCTAAGCCCCTTTTGGACGCCAATAGATTTATTGTTTAAGATCGGCGACCGGACAACTGTGTATTATATACTGGGACGATACGCGTCGGCCCGCAATGTCACGAGCATTGCCTTAAAACGAAGATATTTTTATATGACGTTGTTTTTCTTTGGCGTAAGCCGACTTGAAACCTACGCGATGACGTCTGTGATACAAGTATGAAACTGAACTTTTAGCTGGGAATTATTAGAAGAACAGTAAATGTTCAGCTAATAAATAAAAAGATGTCACCGTCCCCAACAACTATCAATGAACTGCAAGAAACACAATGATCTCACAAATTGCTATGCAAAACCCTAATGCCAATATTATGATGCTTAATTCCCAGTATTATTATGTTGGCTACATGATCCACGCCTCGGCGGGACAGTTCGCCGTGTATTGAAATTCAAATCGTCTTGAACATGGGCGGTGATAATGCAAAGTCCACAGAGGCTATTGCTACAGTATATCAATGAGAGAGAAGTATTCCAGTAAGAGGATTTCAGATTTGCACTCGTGTTTGGAATTTTGTGCATAAAATAAACATGTGTTATGTATTGTGATCGCTTGAGATGCTTTTTGGATTGGTCGGAGGGTGACGATTTTTAATACGATAAGTAGTTGATACTGATTTCTTTTTATACCCAAATTTTTTTACAAAGATAACATCTCTTAAAACATAGAGTTTTGGGTGTAACAGCCAAATTTACTGTCTGATTAATACAATGACGTCTATTTCCTTATTTATCATCTGTCATTTCCAAATATTTCTTTTATAAAAGCTTCGATATATTTTATCCGTGTGTAGGAACTAGTGCACTGTCGATGCCATTAGGCGTACGCACCTAGAGGGACAGCACAATGTAATGAACTCAACATAATACGCGTGCATCGGACACTGAATGGCCGAGGGGCTGGCCATCAATGGCGAAGTGAAACGCAAGCTAATGGTAATGGTCGTTTCATATACAAATGGTTCTTTTACTAAAACTGACGGGGAGGGGATACATTTTATTTTCCGCAATCGGGGAGGATGAAAAGATGTCTGTGCATCAGTAAAACGGGAAACATTAGTAATGGATTTTTTTTGAACGTATTCAATGAATTAATTAATCCGCGTTGAGCTGGGGTGAAAGAAAGAGCTATAGTATCGCAGTTGTATGTTCGTTTGCTTTGCAGTCGCTCCATGCATGTCGAGTCGAGGGAAATCCGTCGTTGTGTCTCATAATATTTATGTGACGTTCCGTTGTTAAAATTGTAGACCTGTACATGTTTTGTTTATGTTTTTTAAAGAACAGTAAAGATATTGCCTTATTTTGATTTGATATGAATTCTCGAAAGCAAAAAAGAATTCCTGGTTGGTCATTTCTTAAAAACTGTTTCCATTTCCAAAGAAAACCATCCCTTAACATCGGTTTGAAAAAAATGTACTGATAGATATAAACGACATCATGAGCGCAAGAAAAATTAAAATAATAAAATGATAACCCTATAATACATTTGCTCATTTCTCATGAGCTCCGCAAATTAATGCGTAATACCCCTTAGCAGGAGATCAAATCATTTTTTCATTCTTGATTCAAGAGATTATTCAATGCAATTGAAAAATTTTTCTTCTTATGAGCTAACCAATCTTTTTAATAAAAATCATTTGGAAATGAAACGGATAATATATATTATTGTGATGATGTATGTGGAAGATTATGACTTGCGAATTGTAATAATGGGGTCTCATTATTTAATTTTTGATTTAAGAATGCAGAATGTTCGAATTTCGAATGAGATGCTCTAGAGCGTCATGGTAGCGGCTTTCAACTAGAACTATTTATTTGATTTTAAATATGGTCTTAATAGAATTTGGAATAAAGATAAAGAGATTTGTGACACTACTACACATAGAAATATGTAGATATAGACAGAATATACGTGTTATGAGAGCGACAAGTGAAAACATTATAGTGTTCTTTTTTAATTCTTTTTAGAG